ACGAAAAGATGTGTAAAAAGTAGAGAGAAAAGAGAATCTTTGACTTTTTGGTATGGGTTGTTGGCTTTTTGGCTAATTTAGGCCTCGTTTGGGAACAGGTTAATTTAGTAACTTTTTGGCTATTTGGTTAAAAAGGTAGGTAAAAAAAACTTGTATGTTTGGGATGACTTTTTGGCTAATTACGAAAAGATGTGCAAAAAGTAGAGAGAAAAGAGAATCTTTGACTTTTTGGTATAGGTTGTTGGCTTTTTGGCTAATTTAGTAACTTTTTGGCTAATTGGCTAAAATAGCCTCTTGCCAAACGAGGCCTAAGAAGACAAATAAATTATGCACAAGAACTCTCAATTACCTAGCAAATGTATGCTCGAATTGAACCAAACCCGATGTACCTCTTTTACCACCGTCTTCACCTCGGAATTGCTTTGTCCAACATTGAATCCAGAATGTCGTTGTCGAATCTACAACGATGAGCCACTCCAAAATCCACAAAAGTTTCAGGCCCCAATTTCTTGGAATCCACCGATGAACACCTCTCTCTTTTTATGAATAAAATAATAAAAATAACCCTTAATGTTTGTCAATATGGAGTTCGTTAATCAATTGATCACATTCTATACATCAAGGAAACTCATAAAAACACCCATCAATACAGAACACTTCGTATTTTCCTCCTGTCTGAGAATCTGGACAGGTTCAACCCTAAAACGAGCAAATAGCGCACTTTATACTAAATAAAGTCACGAAGACCACTTGAGCCACCCCTTTACTGCTCGAGCAGTATGAGTAAAGGCAGTGCTCACATATAGGCCAACCGCTCGAGTGCAACATCTACCGCTCAATTGGTAAAATATATTTCTCAGAAGTTCAAAATACAAGCAAAGATACTTGATGAATCACTTCATCGCTCGAGTGCACAAAAGACTGCTCGAGCGGTTAATCAGCTTTGACTTCTTTTTTAGCTTAGTTAGTGAAGTGGCAAACAAGGAATGCTCAAAACAAGATATGGAATGTCAACACAAACTCCTATACACCGACACAACTCAGATTGGATTCGCATCTAAACTCTCATAACGCACAGACACAATAAAACGAATAAAAATACAATTAAATAGAGTTTTGTCCAATGGGATTGCCAATTACAAAAACCTAACATTATGCATTTTTGTAGTAAATATTACATATTTTTTTCAGATAGATTTAAGATAATTTATGGTTCATAAATGAAGTTATGCAATTTGGGATAAAGTTATAAATTTTTTAGTAAGAAAATGGTTGAATAAAAAATGTCTAACATTACCACAAAATGCATATAATATTATCACAAAAATGCGTGCCCTTGTTTGTCATTAGGCTAAAATAGTTAAAAAGTTATTATAAATTGTCACATCATTCTTTTTACTTTTTTGTACATATTTTCATAAATAAATAAAAAAAACTAAAATAGTTAATTTCCAAATGAACCTGTAATATATACTACAAAAATAAGGGACACTTACAGACCGGTTCTATTGACCTAACTTATTTACTTATAAGTCTGGTATATTTTTTTACTTGTCAATATCTCTAAAATACCTTCATCACCTCAGTTAGCATCTCAACCATATGACTGGTGTTATGACCACAACTTTCGGTGACCACCTCCACTGTCCAACAACTCTGGCCTTCGACCTCCACCTCCAAACTCCAGTGATTGGCCTCCCGGGAGCATCTCCAACAGAGAGAATCATCAATAAAATTCCTCTGATTTCCAAAAACTCAACCAAAAGGAGTACACCCCCATCAATTGTTGGAATCTGGCACCATGTCATAAGAAGAAAAAGTTGCTAGTCAACACTAGAATAAGCTCTACATTCCTAGTGTTGAAAATCCACATAATGTATGTTTCAACCATCGACTCTCCCTCACATCCATTCTCTCTCTCTCTCTCTCCCTCTCTCTCTCTCTCTCTCTCTCTCTTCTCATTTTTTTATTACTTTAAAAAAAGACAAAAATATTTATCTAAGACTCTTCATCAATAAGTTCAATTATGTCAGCATTTTTGATTCAAATGAGTCGCACAGAACAATTTTAATTCATTGCATTAAGAACAATTTTAGAAAAAAAGTACATTGAAAACTTTCCAAGAAACAGTAGTGGGAGGGGAAAAAATAAGTAAAATAAAACAATTTTCACATTTTCAAAAGTAGTGGATCCATCAAAAGGGAGAATGAAAAAAAAACCGAGAATGTATGAAAAAAGAAAAGAAAAGAAAAGAGAACCAATAACAGCAGCATTCTTGATCATCTGACCTTTTCATTTTACCAGATATCAAAATGGAAACCAAGAGTAAATGAGTTTTTGAAACTTCTGAATATTTCAATTTCGCAGATTCCCAGCTGGAAAGAGGGAAATAAAATTGAGTTTTTAAAACAAAAATAAACCATAAGCTCTTTCCCAAATTGAAATTATCAAGCAAAATAAACAACCCAGCAAAACCAAATAATTTTCATATAAGTTCTCATCCAAGAGCTCAGGTCAATATATAAATCTTTGAATGAGAATATAATGCAAGTATAAGCTCTTTCACATTGCATAAGAAGCAATATTTCTCTTATGCAATAAATGGTTGAGTTAAACACATAAGTTTCCTGGTTAAAAGGCATATGGGCCCAGTTATATTATAATGCCTATAAACTAGGTAAAGCTTTACATCTTAGTAGCACAAGGCCATGAGTTTGGGGTTGTTCTTCATCAACATAGCAGTCGTAGGACAAATGGAGAGATTGACTAGTCTTGTTCAATTTTATTGTGGGAAATTAAGGACATTAAGAAGCTTAAAGAAGTGCAGAAAATAAAGAGCCAAGAGTTAAAGGCAGTTCATGAACACAGTAGTCATTGGACAACCGAAGAGAACAATTAGGCTTCTTCAATCGGGTTTGTTGGCTTAAAGAAATTCAGAAATTTAAGAAAACAAACATATATCAATATATAAAACTCACCCAGCAGCAAATTAACCAAAAAAGAGAGAATGAAATAATACTCTAATAACACCTCAGCTGATATGTATCCCTATAATGTCACCCACATTTCTTCCTTTGAATACTCCAAAAAAGGCCAAAAGTAAAGTTGCATACAAGTATTAGTTATTATGTTCCCATTATTGATGTTGGAAAATACTTATTGAGGTACTTCAGGCAAATACATACAGAATAAACATAGACATACAGAGTCTATATAAACTAAAATTATAGAATATTTTTACTACCAATGAATAACATCACATAAAAAGAAAAAAAAATTTACAATGTGTACACAGACCACAACTAAGCCCATACCTTTGTTTTTACATGATTGAAAGTTGTTTCAATATGTATTAATAAAGACTAGTGAATCTTAGGTGCTTAATTTATGATTTAATCCAATTAATAAATAAACCAAGCATGACAAATATAAATAGATAAATGAACCAATTAACACACACAAAAAAATTAAATAAATAAGGTTTTAAATTGTTGTTGGATAAGATGGCATTACAGCATGATTACAGGGTTAGCAATAAAGAAACAAGTTTATGACATTTTCAACTCTAACTCACAACGTAGGTGTCCTATTTTTGTACCGTATGTCCCTACATGTCACATTTATCACCGCGAAGCTTCCCGTTACGAAAAAACAATGGCTCGGGGGTAGTTTTGCATTTTCGCCCTCCGAACCCCTTTTTTCAACTAAGTTTATGACATTATCAACCCTAACTCCCAACTTATGTGTCCTACTTACATACCGTCTATCCCTATATGTCACATTTATCACCGGGAAGCTTCCCGTTACGAAAAAATAGTGGCTTGGGGGTTGTTTTGCATTTTCGGCCACCGAACGCCTTTTTTCGACTATGTTTGCAGAGATATATTCAATCCTAACTCCCAAATTAATGACATTTTCAACTCTTAAAGCGAACATATTTAAACAAAGTAAGTGTGACATTAATGAAATTGTTCTTACCAAAAAGCAAACGTCGGATGCCCAACTTAGATTCCCAAGAGTTGTGACAGTTTGGCGACTACGTTATTAAGATGCTCAACCTTTGCATTTGTCTCCTCCCTTGCCTTTTGTCCCTCCTCCCGCTCTTTCAACATCTCATTGGATAATTGAATGCGCTCCTCTCGCTCTTTCAACAGTTCATTGTAACATCTCTCGCTCTTTCAACAGTTCATTGTAGAAATTTATGGAACAGGGTAGCGGAAAGTTTACTTTTGTCCCTCCTCCCGCTCTTTCAACATCTCATTGGATAATTGAATGCGCTCCTCTCGCTCTTTCAACAGTTCATTGTAGAAATTTAAGGAAGAGGGTAACGGAAAGTTTAGCCATTACCCAATACCTAATCTACCCTCCCAGCAACCGCTCACTCAGAGACCAAACACTGCATAATGGTAGTTTTTCTAGTTAAAACACATTATATAACAAGCTACATCGACATGAAAGAAGCTATCATGCTTACCTTTTCAAACAAGCTGCCACAGATATCTTCATGAACTGCTTCAACAGTTTCGTGAGGAATACAAAGCATGATCTGCAACCGCTCCAGAGATCTAACATCTTCCTTGCTGAGCTCTCCATCAGCAACAGCTTGTTGAAGCTTTTGCCGGTAAATTTCTAAAATAAAAATGAACATAAACAAATCAGACTTTTTTGTGATTTAAGTTCACTAAAAAAAATTGGGAAAACATTTAGAGCAATTAATATCAAGGCACATGACAAAAGATTTACATTCCTTTCCTCTGCTACTCCATGTTACAGTACATGTTTCACTTCACATTCATGGTATGTACCGTATCTAATTGGTAGAAAAGATATTTACAGTGCAGCTCTAAAAAGAAGTTGCTGACTACCATTTGACATGCAAGCATGTGTGGATGGTGGAAAAGCTCAAACAATAACAGGGAACGTCTACTGCTGTATGCAATAAGTTCATAACAGCAATTTCAGTGTAGATGATAAAATGTACAATCTATCTGACCTTCATGGATCCCAATAGCTTTCTGTGGATCAAAGTGCAACTCCTCGCAGAGGTTTTGAAGGAATTCTGCTTTACTCTGAGCAGCTTCTAAATCACCGCTTGATACAGACTGAGCAAGTCATTTACGATATATTTTTGAAGTAACATCCAGCATAATGGATTATGCCTCCCGTTTACCTAAACCAAATATATTCCTCAATTGGTTCAATGCAGCAAGCTACAAACAGAGAAAAAATAAAGGTTAAAAAAAATTAAATGACTGTCAAACATAAAAACAGAAGACAGAAAAAGCAAGCACCCAGACAACATAAAAAACCAAAAGAAATTAGTAATTCATTTTGATGGCAACTGAGTTTTAGTCATAGATCAAGGTCCCCCCAACACCAACAATTCTTGCACCAACTTAATATCTTTTAAGCAACACTAGTCTACATGCACCTTTTTAGATAAAGATATACAATAAAGTAGTCTCAACTTAAAACTAGAGAGACACATAACACACTTATTATATTTCTCTTCAAATTTAGGAAATACACTATTAGCTTTATTCCCTTAGAATTTGAAGAATACATCATTAAGTTCATAAAATAAAATTAACAAAGAATTAACTCCTGATGTTGCATTTTGCATACCCAACAAGGGTCAGCAACAAAAGCTCATAACCTTATGTGCCATTAAACTCTGGTTATGACCTCCTCCCAGTTAGGTTCAAGCCATCATGTCTTTTCACATCCTCAACTTATATTTAAGGCCTTCCACCGGTTCTTATAACTGCTTATCCTTGAGCCATACTCCCTATAGGTGCAGTCATTTATCTTTGTGGCACAATACCAAATCATCAGTTTTTTATCTTCCTCTGCTTGGTGCTAATGCAAATTTAAGCTTATCACAAATGAACTCATTTCTTCTTCTATCTTTGTTGATATTTTCTTTCTTTTATGAGTTATTGATTCTTTTGTGGACACAAGGCCAGATCAACATCCTTATTCCAATGACACTCTATTTAAAAACATTTTTCCATTCATTTTATAATTAGATTAGAGGCACATATGCTCTTCCAGAAAAAGGTTAGGTTCATTCGAAAATCATTAAATGATTGTAATAATCCTCTCAGTAGTAATATGCAAAATTTGTGAAACTGGATCTTCTAAACCGTTATGTGCGTAGTTAAACAGTGAAGTGTGTTGCTGGCCTAAATACATTACATGGACAAAGCAAACATAATCCACTGCACAAACAAAAGAACTACACAAGTCAGCATCAATATTCATCAGGTAGCACAAGTGCAGCTCATATTGCAACCAACAAACATGCAGCATAGTGTCTGAAAATTTTCATCCAAATAAAAAACTACTACAGTTTATTTAGTGGAATAGTTATCTGATCGGTTGAAAGTTGATACAGTATATACAGAATTAATAATTCGCCTCACAGCTAGACTAAATGGCTTGAGAAAATAAACATCTCTACAGAATAATCCACAATTGGATTTAAGTAAAGCAACATCTTTGCCCAAGGGAAAGTCACCTTATTCTCTCCCATGCGACCACTTGATAGTGCATCCGTAACATATGCTCTAAATAGGAGCTTCAAGTCATCCATCTGTCTATCACCATCATACTCACCACCTAAGCCAAAAAGTCTGTGTTAACTTCAGCTAGCAGTTTTTAAGAAGTAATGCCAGCAAGCAGATTCAGGATGTATAAGCAGTAAAGTTATCTGATCAGTTGAAAGTTGATACAGTACATACAGAATTAATAATTCGCCTCACAGCTAGACTAAATGGCTTGAGAAAATAAACATCTCTACAGAATAATCCACAATTGGATTTAAGTAAAGCAACATCTTTGCCCAAGGGAAAGTCACCTTATTCTCTTCCATGCGACCACTTGATAGTGCATCCGTAACATATGCTCTAAATAGGAGCTTCAAGTCATCCATCTGTCTATCACCATCATACTCACCACCTAAGCCAAAAAGTCTGTGTTAACTTCAGCTAGCAGTTTTTAAGAAGTAATGCCAGCAAGCAGATTCAGGATGTATGAGCAGTAGAACTAAATAATCTCCACGAGGAACACGAAACAATCAATTAGCATCCCTACCTATTAAATTCACTGGCCCAACCCCACGAGCAAAGCGACTAGCATCAGGATGCTTCCCCAATGAGATCAGTAAATTATTGAATGCCAGCATCTTATTAAGCTCTTCAATGACATGTGAAGCTGTCTTGCTGGATACCCTAAGTTTATTTTAGGTAAGGCAAATGCTAGAGAGAACAATATTAACCACTATAATGAGACAAAACATCTAGTGTGCCCAAGGGAGGAAAAAAGAAACAAAATATCATTTTGCAGTCAATAATTTGGAATGGTAAGAGCGTGCACCATACACAATCTTAGTCAAACATTTAAGGTAAATTATGAGTGTTTTACTACATTAAAAAGAATGTCCACCAATTTTGTTTAATACTGGCATAAGTTGTTCTAGTAAAGGAAGTTGTGGTCATACACTGTTCTTGCCCTAGACTTCAGCATACTGAGCGCAGTTGATATGTTTTCCTCGACAAGTTTTCTTGTATGCACTCTAAACATGTCTTCTGCAAGCTGCGAAAAACAGTCTCTAAAACATAAAGAGGCAACTATAAATCATTAAATATGTATTAAGGTTTATTAATAACAGCACAATTAGAAAGCGTACCTCATCAGAAAGTCGATAAAGAAGTTGGGCTTCTCTCAGGCTAACAAGCTGTTTCACATCAACATCTGAAACATTTAACCTTCGTTAGCATTGAGAGAGCCTTAGCATTGCCAGAAAACATGGGGAAAAGAAATGGAAGTGTGAGAAGTGTTCAAAGATCTATGACTTCACATGTTAGTCGGCAATTTCTTGCATAGAAACCATTCAGAACCTGATTTAAATCACCCCATTCAGATTACCAAAAATAAATTTCCAGAAAACTGAATTAAATATTCTGATCAGCAAGAACATAATGATTTTTTATGGAAAAAATTCCATAGCATTGCGAAAGAGATGCGGCAACTGGAAATACAAGAGATGATTATTAAAATATGAATGCATCTCAGAAACGAAAGACTTTAGAGAACATCAAGGAATATATATTTCTCATAAGCAAAAAGATCAATAATTGCACCCAGTCTCAAAGGCACCAGAGGGAAAACTAAGAAATGCAACCCATGATTTAAAACCCAAAAACAAAAAACGAAGGTCAAGGACAAAGGATGAATGTAGCTGATCACAAGTACATTGAAAATAAAATCCATTTAATCTGAAGAAATTATTTTGGTTAGTCAATTCCTTGAATGTTCACTTACAATATTATTATATTCTACAAGCATATTTTAACTTAAAATGCACAGTGACACCAAATGTTTTTTAAAAAAAAAAAAGCATACACAGCTAGGCCAACAGATCGAAAGTCATGATCCATGGGTACCAAGCTACTACTATATGTTCATTTAAGAACACAACATCAGCCGAAGAATCTACAAGGACAATCTAATCCCTGCCCTTGTTTTACCAAAACTATGATAACTGCATCTCTTTTCCAAGACACAAAATATCATACCTCAAGTGTGAATACTTATTCATTTGTTGATTTTAAAATCATTCATATCTCAAGATTCTCAACCTCCACATATTACATCAATTTCATACATTGGAAATGCAACTATGAAGAAGAACAGTAGGTATATATTAAGTACCTCAACATTCTTACCAAGGCATCCAAAAGCAACGAGCAGCTAGTATATTTACTCAAAACCATAAAAATTCCTCTTTTATATGTACTACTACTACAAGACTTTGCCCTAGTTTATGTAGCAAATGGGTTGATTCACCCCAAGCATTGCCCTAATTTTTAATTTGAATCACATTTCAATAACAATGCCCTAATTGAGGGCATTTCGTACTTTATATTCTGTGTGTTTTGACACACACACACACACACACACATATATATATATATATGTGTGTGTGTGTGTGTGTGTAAACAGAGACAGATAGAAACTGAGGCAAATCGAGAGGGAGATACAGAGAGAGGGAGAGACAGATGCGAAATTCAAACATACCGGGGAGGGAGTTCGGGGGAGTTCGGGCGATGGAGACTATTCCTGTACAGAAAAGGGCAGAGGCGTGAGTGTACATATGATTTGGGAAAATAATCGAGTATATATGGAATCAATGTTGTGAATATATGATTCGTGTGTGTGTGTGTAAACAGAGAGAGAGAGAGAAAGAGGGAAACCGAAAGGCCGTGTGAGATGTTTAAGAAATAGAGAGGGAGATACAGAGAGAGAGAGGGAGATACCTGGGAGGGAGTGCGGGGGATGATACAGCAACTCTTGCGATGGAGATAGAGCAGCGATAGAGGCGGGAGTGCGAGAGGGAGGGAACTGGGATACTTTTGCAATGCAAATAGAAGAAAAAGTAATATTCCCTCCACAATTTCGTGGCACGTTTGGCTACCAAAAACATAGTCGGTGAAAGTGCATTAATTGGCGACGAAAATCCAATTAGTCGCCGAAACAAATTATTTGTAAAACACACTTTTGGCTGCCAACAATTTTGGTCGCGAAAGGTAAAAACGTGAAATTTTTTTTATTTCTTGTTTTCATTCGACAAAACAAATCGAAAAATTGTAATTTTGTTCTAAAATTTCAAAAAAAATTCAGTAAAGATAAAAAATAACAAAAAAAATAGTAAATATTTGTTGCTTATTTTGAATTTTTAAAACATATATATTTGTTAGATTCGGCTCGAAAAAATGAATTATTTTTAAATAGGTGTTTTTTTAGATGTTGCCCAATGAATTCATGTGATAGAAAATAAAATTAAAAATATTAATTGATTATCTTAAAAGAAAATAGAAGTAAATGTTACAAAGTTTGTAACATTAATGTTTTAAAAACTGATGATAATTGACCTTAATTTTGATGATGACAGCTTGAATTAAAGAAGATAATAAGTCAATTTTCTTTAATCTCAAATATTCTTATATTTGAAGTCACTCCGTCCGTTGCACCACCACATAACTTAGGCACAATGCAGTGTACTGATTACATAAAATATTCAAAATCTGTAAAATTAGTGTCTCCCTTCATCGGTAGAAAGAGTTCATGCAGCATTTCATAAATCCTCTCAGAACAAGGGTGGATTTTATCAGCAACATAACAGTTGTGAGTTTCACTATTAATATATCTCTGCAAATGTGTGTGTATATGTATGAGGAATTTGGGGATCCTGGAGAAGAGAAAAAAGAAGAAAAATGAAAATCATGTGTCTCTGGAAATGTGTATATATATATATATATATATATATACACATTTCCAGAGACACATGATTTTCATTTTTCTTCTTTTTTCTCTTCTCCAGGATCCCCAAATTCCTCATATATATACACACACATTTGCAGAGATATATTAATAGTGAAACTCACAACTGTTATGTTGCTGATAAAATCCACCCTTGTTCTGAGAGGCTTTATGAAATGCTGCATGAACTCTTTCTACTGATGAAGGGAGACACTAATTTTACAGATTTTGAATATTTTATGTAATCAGTACACTGCGTTGTGCCTAAGTTATGTGGTGGTGCAACGGACGGAGTGAATTCAAATATAAGAATATTTGAGATTAAAGAAAATTGACTTATTATCTTCTTTAATTCAAGCTGTCATCATCAAAATTAAGGTCAATTAACTGTCATAATATTATCATCAGGATTGCCTCTAGTCTATAAAAGTGGATCAGGCATGCAGTGTTGCTATAGACTAAATTTGTTTTGGTAGTCAAAACTGGTCGCCAAAAATGTGTTTTCTTGTAGTGTTGTTATATAACTATTTTCCCAACTTTGAAAATATTTGTAGAAATGGTGTGGTGCAACCACAGTAGTAGTAGTTGTGGTGGTGGTGATGTGATGATAGTTATGAGGTGGTTTGATGATGTGATGTGGTGATGGTGATAGGATAGTGGTGACATAGACGGTGGTAGCATTGGGAATGATAGTGAATCTTCATCTACTAAGGCCTCTTTTGGGAAGACTAAAAAAGTCAAAAAGTCAGTTTTTAATCTATTTTCGGTCACATCATTCTCTTTATTTTTTTATATGTTTTTCAAAAAAAAATTAAAAAGTCAACTTTTAACCATGATAAGCATCGTTAATTTCATAATATCATTTTAAGAGAATTAACCACGTTAAAAATTAAGTTGATCAGATATCGGTAGACATTTCAAAAATTCTAAAATAACCCCTGAGATATTAATTCATAATCATATTTCAATTTTAACTAGTGAATACCAATCTTGATCAAACAATCAATAATAAATCAACACAAAAAATAATCCACTAAGAAGACAAAAAAATAAATGAATTACACATGAGTACTCTCAGATAGACAAAAAAATAATCCACTAAGAGAAGAAATATAAAGAAATCACACGCCAAAGTCATAATTGGATTACCTATAATCCACTATCAAAAAATCATAATTGGATTACCTATAATTGCGATAAAAAAATCACACGCCAAAGTCATAAAATAATCCACTAAGAAGACAAAAAAATAAATGAATTACACATGAGTACTCTCAAATAGACAAAAAAATAAAAGATAAAGAGAAAAAAGATGAACGAAAGACACACAGACAGATAGACAAACAGATAGAGAAAGAAGAGTGATGAGTGAAAGAGAGAAAAATAAGAGTGGTGGTAGTTGAATGACATTTGCAGTAGTGGTAAATGTGGTAGAAAAGATAGGTGGTGAGACAGAGAGATGAGTGAGAGACGAATAGAGAAAAGAGATAGAGAGACAGAGAAAGAGACAGAGTGATGAGCGAGAAAGAGACAAAGTGGTCGCTAAAAGTGCATTTTTTTGTAGTGGATCGATAAATCGAAAGGGAGCTCAATAAATAAAGAAGACAGATAATTCAAAACTCTTTAAGAGAAAATAAACTCTTCAAACCTTGAAAATCAAGGTGAAAATAATCTCAGCTCTCACTCCCTTTGCGCGGCACTTACAGCACCATTGCCATCAACACCACCTTTATTGCTTCTCCATTGTCAGTGCTGCCATCCGTCGTTCTTGCTTCTCCATCGTAAAGTGAAAAAATAAATTAATTAAAATTCATAGATTTTGCAATTGTCTTAACACTTTCCATTGTTAGTGTAAATTTTTTTATTAAAAAATAGCCATATTTTTGGTATTTTTTGCCCCAATTACTTTTTTATGTATTTTTTCAAAAAAGTAGAGAAATTAACATATAAATAATTATATTTTAATGAGAAAGTTCTTAAAATTTAAAGTGGCATTTATATTACAAAATGAAGAAATTTATAGATTTGGGACAAAATTACGTCTCTCTACTCACTCACTCACTCACTCACTCTTGTTCTTTTGTCTATTTTATCTCATTCTCTCCAATGTTTCTGTCTCTCTCTTTCTCTTAAATAGCTGCGGATTCCGTGTACCAATTTGTTGTCCCGCCATCCTGTCTCGTGTGTCTCTGCTTGCCACATAGCCTAATATTCAAACAAAACTTAACTCTGTTAACATAAACTCTTTTATATATTTTATAATTAAAATAAAGTAAAAATCTAAAGAACTCTAGTAGCTACGTATTTTGATCATAAAAGGTGAGGTTGGGTTTTTTTTTTCTTATCAAAAAAATGTAAAAAATCAAAAATCAAACAACATAATATGGGAAATCATTGCTTATTTTTTGAGACCATCACTGAACAGGATTTGGAATAGATGAAAATCTAA